GATGGCTAACTCGTTTTTAGCCCTTTTCCTTTGCTTTCGCAGAGGAAGTTAGAATTCGCTTGTTGGTCAGTATATGTCTGAAGCCTAGGTATGTTTTGGGTGATGGTCCTTTCTTTAGGGAACTTAGTATGGGCAGGGGCCTCACCAGCAAAGACCTGTGGCCACTGAGCGTGGATGCTGAGGTCCTTCTGCACAGGATTTCTATGCTTGTCTAACACCGCAGACACTTAGCATTTCAGAATGGCCTGACTCTCGGCTCCTTTCTTTCCAGACCACGTGCAGCTGTCAAGAGCTCTTCCCCATGTTTTCTCCGATGTTCTTTCTTTACAGCGTTGCCATCTCCTTACATGGAATGACCACGGCCTTTCTCATCTGTGGTTTCCGGTGCCTTCTCTGTTGGTCATATCACACATCTCTACAGTCTCTCTTATCATGGGGTTTAGCCAGGCCCTCAAAGGCGGGAGCCAGATCAGCTTTTGTATCCCTCTTCCTCCCTCTCCGCCCCCTAGAATCCAGCATAATGTTGATCGAGCTGTAGCCACAAATTCAGTACCTATTAATTGACTTTTACAAATTAATTTTATATCTGATTCGGAGGCCAAATTAGATACATTACTCGGCTTCTGTACTTTTTGGAGTAATTATTGCCTTGATGTGTATGGATTGCAAGTTTGTGCCTCCTCCGTAATTATACATTGGCCTTGGGGGTAGAGTCCACGTTCATTTGCTTCAACAAACATTGACAGAGGACCCACCCGAGCAGCCTCTGTGTTTTGAACTCTGTGTTCCTGTCTCTGTAGACTTGCATGCACCTTGTCCATAGCGACAGTGTCATGGAGTAATGGATACTGATGCACAGTGTGTTGCTAGTGATCAGAGTGCAATGCTTTTCTCTCCCCGTTTTATTAAGAGGGAAATTTTGTTTTGTGGCTTGGATTTTCTTCTACTTTTACGCTGTCATTACTATCATAAAAGAAATGCTTAACTGCCCCCATCATGCCTGAACATGAGGATGTATTCCTTCAGGAACTCTTCTCCAATTCATTTATATTTGCAGAGCTGAAATCGCCCCCAAGTGAGCACTTAAGCAGAAATGAGAAGGTTTGCGTGTTGTAGGCTAGGGAATTAGCTGATCGTCTCTGATTATTCTGTGCTGGTACCGCTGACACCAGAGGGAAATTAATAGCATTTTGAAGTATGGATCCCAGTGGTATTTTGCACGGTATTTTGAGAAAAAGGAGCATATGAGTTTTGCTAGGTTTGGGGAGTTACCGAAGGGAAATGGGGGATTTTCTCTCAGAGCTTTTAAATATCTGCTGATTTTAAGTGTCTCCTCCAGTCCCTTTCAATATTCTGGTGTCAAGGCTGTGATTTAGGCAGTTTTAATAAAAACACACCATTTGGTGAGGACCTGTGCCGGGGGGCGGGAGTGGGCTGGCAGAGGTCAATGGGGGGAAAAGGAGACATGTGTAATACTTTCATCAATAAAGAATTAAAAAAAGCAACTACAAACAAACAAAATTAAAAACACACTGTTCAAGTGGGTGTCCCATTATCAGGCAGAAACATTTCTGGAAATTGAGTTCTTGTACGTGGCAGCGTTTCCCCCATTGAATTTTCTCTGTGAAATCAGGGTCTTGTAACCATTTAAAAATTATATTACGCTGGTTTGGCTCAGTGGATAGAGCGTCGGCCTGCAGACTGAGGAGTCTCAGGTTCAATTCCGGTCAAGGGCACATGCCCGGGTTGCGGGCTTGATCCCCAGTGAGGGGTGTGCAGGAGGCAGCCAATCAATGATTCTCTCTCATCATTGATGTTTCTCTCTCTCTCTCTCTCTCTGTGAAATCAATAAAAATACATATTTAAAAAAATTACATTACAACTTTCCTGATAATATTTACTTCTATATATTTGTATATTTTCAAATTATATTATCCGTTTATTTAACACCCCCCCCGCCAAAGATATGCTTGTATAGTTTAAAAAGTCAGGTTGTTCTGCCGGGTTTATAACAGAAGCCAGAGTCTACTGACCTTCCCCTCCCGATTCCGGCCTCTCAGCCGTTTTAACTGTTTCTTCAGCATTTGGTCTCCACAAATCTCAACTGTATGCACAACTTTGCCACCTCGTGACTTGTTCAGCCACAGACATCTCTCATGACTTTCTGATGTCCTGACGCATGTTACAACATGGGTCAGCCTCGAAAGCATGACACTGCAGAAACGATCCAGACACAAAGGGACGAATACTGTATTATCCACTTACACGAACGCTCGAGAATAGGCAAGTTCATAGAGGCAGAGAGTAGGCTAGAGGTTCCGGGAGCTGGGGGGAAGGGAGGATGGGGCATTCTTGCTTAGCGGTTCCTGGGCTTCTGTTTGGGGTGGTGAGAAAGGTTTGGAAATAGTGATGTTTGTATAGCACTCTGAATGTAATTAATGCCACTGAACTGTAGGCTTCAAAATGGCAAATTGTATGTGATATGTGTGTGTGTGTGTGTGTGTGTGTGTGTGTGTAGCTCCATAAGAAATAATCAAATTAATTAATAAATAAAATAGCTTACATGATTAAAACTGTAAATATTATTCCTTTGTTTCCTTTCTTGTGCAATTGCTGTGTTTTCCAGAGTTAGTAAAGGTATCTCTTTCTTGCTTTCCCCACTTTCACGGGAACCCCTGTTACCAGTCTCCCACCGGAAGTGCAGATTCCTGTCCCACATTGGGACCTCTCAGGGCTCTGCCATTCGCTCTCCCTAGGAGCCCTCCAGCCCCCTTCCCGTCCCTCTCAGCTCCTGCTCTCCTGGTCTGTGATCCGTTGCTCCCCGCATCCTCTCTCACCACCACCCTCGGGGATTCCCTTCCTTTCCCCTGTCCTCGACTTGTCTTACTGCCTTTTACCTGTGAAAACACACCCTTGAGTCTTCTGAGAAAGGTGCCTGGGAGGTGGTCTCCAGCCAGCTTCCCCAGAAGCAGGGATGGATGTGGGGGCTCCTGTGAAGGAATTTGGGGAAGACAGGCTTTGGGAGAAGCAGCCAGCGGGTGAGGGATGGATGGGGCTGGGGAAGAGGCTGGGCTGAGATGGGAGAGCATGGGGGTCACTCCCATGCAGCTCATAGACATTCACGGTCTCCTGTTTTCGGTGTGGTACCCCTTATTCCTAGCTGGGCAGCGGGGGTTGTGGGGAGAGGGGGCACCCCTGAATGTCTGGTGGGGCAGTCACGTTGATAGGATGGAATGTGGGGAGGGGTTGGAGGATGAGATGAGTGAGAGTCCTTACCTGGATCACGGTTTTAGATTTGTTGATGATGGGGATATAGGAGAGAGGTAGCTGGGTAGGTCGTCTTCAGTGGGGAGTTTACCATGAATGGCAGCTACCAAGGACTGTGGGTTCTAAAGCTAGTGCGACTACAGCCTGGGAAAGGGACGGAGTAGGCCGTGGCCTGGAGAACGAGCCCACGGCTTCCTTCCACGGTCTCGGGGAGCTGAACTGCTAAGACATTTTCCTTCTTTTTGGGAGTTCCTGAAGCATTGGCAGTTTTCTGGGAGTGGCACTAAGGCTTCTGCGTGTGGATGAGGCTGGCAGGAGGGAAGTCACTTTCCGTAGGGATTTGTCCTTCATTGTCACTCTTGTGACACTTGGCTCTGTCACTCCATGTGTTTTTTGGGAGATGGGTGATGCAGATGTCTTTTTTCAAGACAAGGCATAATTAAGTCACTTTTAGAAACCCATTCAACGTTTTGCATGTCAGTGATGACTGTCATCGTAGTGGGAGTACTCCAGCCAGATGCCACTGCACCTATGGGAGTAGATGGCTGGGTGCGTGTTTAATTTGCTCAACGCTGGAGACTCCTTTATCGAGTCGCCCTCCCTGAGATTTGGCTCCAGCCTCGTTTCCCTCTTCGCTCGTGTCCGGCCCCTCATTGAGGCAATCATGGTCCTTGCTTGCTGAGCTCCCTGAATCGGCCACTACTGGCTCTGTGACCTTGGGCAGATTATCTTAGTACCTTGAGATTCAGTTTCTTTATCTACAAATAGCAAGAGGAAACAGTATCTACCTCTCAGGGTTTTTGTGATGATAAGGGAAGATATCCAATGTGAAGCGTGCTCCCTGGAAATAGTAGGTGATCAATAAATGTCTGTTCCTGCCCGGCCAGTGTGGCTCACGGTTTGATTCCTGGTCAGGGCACATGTCTGGGTTTTAGGCTCGATCCCCAGTAGGGGGACTTACAGGGGCAATCAATCAATGATTCTCTCTCATCATTGGTATTTCCATCTCTCTCTCTCCCTCCTCTTTCCTCTCTGAAGTCAATAAAAATGTTCATTCCCTTCTTCCTTTTCCATGATAGGAAGATTGACAGGACTACGCTGACATCGACTCACTGGTTGTCCCCAGATATTTCAAAGGCCGTCACCTCTCACAGAGGAAAGACCTTTCTCTGGTGCTCCAGGGAGCAGGCCTAGAGCTAGTAGGTAAACATGGAAGGGAGAGAGAGTCCCACTGAACACAAGGAAGACTTCTGTCCTATAATGCAGTGTCCTGGAGTGTTCAGCTAGGACAGGACAGCTGTGTTACTCACACTGGGGCCAGGGACTTTGTTGTCAGGGGCTGTGCACTACATATGTTTACAAGCATCTGTGCCCCCTAGTCACTTGATGCCCCTCGTATGACAACCGAAGATGTCTCCAGACACTGCCCAATGCCACCTGGAGGGCAACATGGCCCTTGTTGAGAATCATTGAAATAGAGCTTAGATGGCAGCAAACCACACTCCCTCCTTCCGAGGTCCATGCCATTTCTGCCCCAAATTGAGTTCTTACGGCATCGGTTCCAGGAGTTCTGACGGTGGCTTTTGGGTTTGGGATGGGACCTGCCGTGGAGGATTAAAGGCCTAACCCATGTGACATCATCGGGCTGCGTTTGGGCCGTGGAGAGCCAGTGAAGCCGCACTCGGGAGGCGTCTGGCTGGTTTAACGGTCTGCTGCTCACTGTGGTTCCGCAGGTCATGTTGGCAGCCTCCTACTGGTCCCTCCTGGCCCCAGCGGTCGAGATGGCCACGTCCTCCGGGGGCTTCGGTGCCTTTGCCTTCTTCCCCGTGGCCGTGGGCTTCACCCTCGGTGCTGCGTTCGTCTACTTGGCCGACGTCCTGATGCCTCAGCTGGTGAGTACCACCCCCGAAACGTGACGTTCCCTCTGTCGGTAGCCAGTGATTCCGGAATAGATGCTGCAGACCGTGTAGGGCTTTTATGTGGAGGAATTGGATCTGACGTTTCCCCTAAAAGGAAAGAAGCTCTTGGTAATATGACTAATCATCCCCGTGGTTACGTTTTGCTAAGTTCGGATTTCAAATGTCAGCTTTCGTTATAAATATAGAGAGCAGCTGACAATCCACCGTGCGGCGCCATGTATATGAAACGGGGAGAAGTGAGTGACCAGGATCAGGGTCCTGACCCTTAAGGGCTTATGATGTCACCGGGGAGATGACAACACACCCAACCATAGCGTAAGACCAGTGACAAAGCATCGCGTCCACAGGGCCTATGAATAGGAGGAGGAGGTGCGGAGGCTGGGCAGCCGGGCTCTGGGTGGAGCTTACTTCTGTCAGTCACTGGTGGCGTGCCCCTTAGCTCCATTTCTCCTTCCTATAACTCAAGGCTAACTCCCTTTAGTGGCTGCACAGTCAAAATTTAAAAATCTGGTAACGTACTGTAATAGGGCTGGCGGGTTGGATTTGGGGAACGAGTGTGTCTAAGGAAGCACAGTAACGCCCGGCCAGGGTTGCTCAGTGGTTAAGCGTTGACCTATGAACCAGGAGGTCACGATTCGATTCCCAGTCAGGGCATATGCCTGGGTTGCAGGCTCGGTCCCCAGTGTGGGGTGTGCAGAAGGCAGCCGATCAGTGATTCTCTCTCATCGCTGGTGTTTCTATCTCTCTCCCCCTCCCTGTTCCTCTCTCTGAAATCAATAAAAATATATTGAAAAACAGGAGAAGCACACTTAGAACCGCAGCCTGAAGTCTGGCTGGGATCCCCCAAGAGAGAGTCGAGGCCAGGCCATGAGACTGTGACAAAGGCCATTGGCTGGAGCTGGGCTGTCATGCGCTGCCATCGGTAGACAGGGCTGAGCACCCGGTGCATGGAGTCGGATGGGTGAGAGGAAGTGAGTCGGCCTGTGTTGCTTTCCTCGGAGAAGTGAGCATGCCGGGTCCAGCAGGGCAGAGGGGTGGCTGGAGCCCTTGCCCTTGGCCGTTCACTGGTCCTACTGCCTGTCGGGGCCGCCCACCCTGGATATCTTCATAGATTCAGGCCCTGATGGCAGCAGGACTCCCGGGTGGGCGGGAAGGACGCGGTTAACGGGACTCTGTCCTCTGACTCCCCTGCCCTTCACTCAGCCTTTCAGATTTATTTGTCCCCCTTTTGGAGCCGAAGCAAAATATGGCTCATGAAAAGGGTTTTACTCATCACAGCCTGTCCGGGGGAAGCCACTGTGGCTTCGTTAACTGCGTATGCATCAAACATCTCTCTGAACTGGGTATTGGTTTTTATTTATTTATCTGGGAATAAAGCAGAGGAGGCTCCCGCAGTAACAGTTAATGAGCTGGCAGGGATTTGCAGCGGCTTTGCCAAATGGAGTCTTTATGAAAGGGGGAGATGGGGGTGGGCGGGGAGCGTGCACCCTGCTTGGCCTGAGAAGCAGCTGGCAAGAGGCCGGGGGAAGGGGGTGAGGCCTGGGCCAGCCCGAGCCCAGTATCCCTCCCTAAGGATGACCCGAGGGAGAAACAGAATGGATGCCAACCAGCTATCGATGTTGACATTTTGATGAAAAATATGTCAAAGATGTTGACATTTTGATGATCTTTGCAGTTTTGCTTCTCTGTGAAGTTAAGGATGGTGGTAGGCGGGGAGCCTTCACCTTCAGTTTAAAGGAGGGACTTTCTACTGGTGGGTGGGGTGGGGAAGGAGGCAAGGGCATATTTCCCCAAGGCCTCTTGTCTTTCCTGTTAGTCATCATATTAGTATTACATCAGTACAACGCAAACATCTCATTATCAAATAAAACATTTCTGTGAACATGCCTTCCTGTTATAGACTGTGTCCCTCCAAAATTCATGTTGAACCTAATCCCCAGTGTGATGGTCCTGGGAGGTGGGGCCCTCTGCAGGTGATCAGGCTATGAGTGTGGAGCCCCCACGAGTGGGATTAGTGCCCTTTTTACAAGAGCCCCCGAGAGCTCGCTTCCGCCGTGTGAGGACACAGCAGGAAGACACCGCCTGTGAGCCAGGAAGGAAGCCCTCATCAGGCACCGAATCTGGCAGAGTTTGATCTTGGACTTGGTCTGCTGATCCGTGAGAAACACATTTCTGTGGTTTGTAAGCCACCCAGACTGGGGTCACTTGTTGTGACAGTCCTCATGGTCTGGGACACTCTCCTATTCCCGTTCTCTCCCCAGCCAACCGTTGTCATCGGTTTAGTGCAGTGATGGCGAACCTATGACACGCGTGTCAGAGGTGACACTCAAACTCATTTTTTTGGTTGATTTTTCTTTGTTAAATGGCATTTAAATATATAAAATAAATATAAAAAATGTAAGTCTTTGTTTTACTATGGTTGCAAATATCAAAAAATTTCTATATGTGACACGGCACCAGAGTTAAGTTAGGGTTTTTCAAAATGCTGACACGCCGAGCTCAAAAGGTTCGTCATCACTGGTAGTGGGCGCTCTTCCAGATTTCTTCTCTTTCTTTGAGAAAACGAATGACGTGCCTTTTAGATTTTGAAACATAACCCCTTCCCCCGTTTGCCTGTATTGTTCGGTACGCTTTACATCAGCTCGCTAGCAGTACCCGCCCTGACTCAGGGAGCTCGCTCTTCTTCCACGGATTTCTGTGCGCGCACACACTGATGCATATCGAATGGGGCCGAGCCTTCTCAGTGTGTTGTTCCTGAATTTGAAATGATCTTCATCTGCAGCTATTTTCATACCCGCACAGCACCGGCCGGCCGTCTCTGTGTCGTCTGCCAGGCTGTTCCCATCATCGCGCGGTTAGATGGCTCCGGGCTTGTCGTATGTGTATATGTGCACTTGGAAATGTAATTCTCTTCTGTATTTTTGGAAAAACAAGGGCAGCACACGGTCTGCGCTGTTGCCCCGTGCTTTCCTCAGCGTGCTCTGTGTCTTAGCGTCTGCTCCTGGGAGACGTGTTCCCCTCAGCCCCTCCCTCTCCTGGGATCTGCCATCTCAGGGAGGCTGCCCAGGTCTGCGGGGGCCGGGAAGGGAGTGGGTGTCGGGGACTCTGTCTGAGGCTCTCCTCTCGGGGAGAGCCTGGCTGGTAGTCGTGTCTAGATAGGCTCCAGGGGACACTAGCAGGTGGTAGGGGTCCTCCCTCTCCTCAGCTCCCTCCTTCATTTATCTGCTTTGCAGCTAGTGATACAGAGCATCTGAGAGCGCCTGCTGTTGGTGATGTGGCTGCTGGAGCACCCTCAGTGGGTCCGGCATGGGCACATGCACACACATGCACGTACATACCTGCACGCACACACACATGCATGTACTTGCACACACATGCATGCACACACATGCACGCACACACATGCATGCACACACATGCATGTACTCGCACACATGCATGCACTTGCACACACATGCATGCACACACACATGCATGTACTCGCACACATGCATGCACTTGCACACACATGCATGCACACACACATGCACGTGCACACTGCCATTTCGGTATAGGCTGGCTTGCTGAAGGGGGCTCCCCATGCACTGAATGGTTCTTGTTACTGTACTAAAGTGGCAGGGACTTTTAAAGGCAGATAGGCATGGGTGGAACCTCCAGGACTTAGATTTCCTTCTCTGCATTCGGACCATAGAGTTGTGACTGAATCCTTGTCCCCTCTTGCCATCCCTGAGCCAGGAACCATGTTCCTGGGAAACGTACTGTGGCGATGTACTACACTGGTGGGTGGTTGGCAGAGATGATCGATGAGGCTGGATGGCTAAAAGAATTGGGTATGCGTGGGGTCTTAACTCTTTCCTTCTAAGGGTGGTGGGACGGACGTGTCTGTTGGGCTCACAACTGTCTCCCTAGCTGGGTGCCTGGTATGTCACTGCTGGAGCAGATGCTGGCCATGCCTGTCGTCCATCTATAATAATAAAAGCATAATATGCTAATTAGACCAGACAGCCTTCCGGACAACCTTCCAGACAACCTTCTGGACGAAGCCGGGTTGTGAGGGCCGAGCCCATTGCATGAATTTTGTGCATCGGGCCTCTAGTATATATATATATATATATATATATGGAAGGGAGAGGGAGAGAGAGCTAGAAACATCAATGATGAGAGAGAATCATTGATTGGCTGCCTCCTGCACACCCCCTACTGGGGATCGAGCCCACAACCCAGGCATGTGCCCCTGACCGGGAATGAAACTGAGCCATGCCAGCTGGGCAAATAAGACCCTCTTTTTGAAAACTCCTTACAGCTTCTAAGCTGAAAGTGCTTTACACACGTGAGTTATTCTCCGGGCACAGATCCACGCCCTTTGCAGTCAACCACATTTTGGGCACGACAAGCACGAGGCGCAGATCGTTAAACCTGCGGGCAGGAAACAGGAGAAGCTTGGTCTGAAGTCTGACTGCTGCACGGTTTTTTATGCTTTATTTGCTTTCCTAGTTCTGTTTGCCTACGAAGCTAGAGACGTGCACTGCCATTGAGAAGGAGCATTTTCAGAGCAAGGCAATGGGAAGTGTGTTAGGGAGGTGGGGCGGAGGGTGGGGAGGAGCTGGGAGGTCGCCTTTGGGGCTTAGAGAGATGTTGACACCTGGACCTCCCTCTGGAGGTTCTGACTCATTGTGTCCAAGGTGAAGCCTGGGTTTCTACACAAAACATCCCCACAGAGGCGCTGCTGTCCACCAGCCAAGGTTGCGACTGCCCACTGCAGGCTACTTATAACTTGCTTTTGTTCAGGGGGTGGCGTGTTGGTTTTTTTTGTTTGTTTGGGTGGTTGCTGTTTTTTTAATGATTCACAGCAATTCAAGTGTCTTTTTCTTTCCCTTGGAAGCCAAAGCCTTATTATTGCAAAAGACTCAGAAAAGAGGGAAAGGGGATAGGCTCAAGACGAGAAGGGGGAGGAACTGCTTCTGTGGGTGGCA